CTGAAATTATAAATTTTGGACGGAATTATGAAAATTACGAAAAATCATATAATTTTTAATTTTATGCACATAGGTATATCAATCAATTTTCTTTTTCAATAATAGCTATTTCACAAAAAAATTTTTTATTTTTAAATTTTTCTAGGGTTAAATCAGTCTTAGTAAGACTGATTATAGACTGGTTAATTAGACCGTCCTGCGGTCTTCAGTCTATATATTGAAGACTGGTCTAGAACTAGTATTATATTGTAATTTATATATATAGTATAATGATCTGTGATATATAAAATTTTTATTTATGTAATAATCGCAGATTTTACTTTAACATTAACTTTAATTGTTTAGTAGCGGCAAAATAGAAAATCAAGGTTAAATTATTTTTTTTTTAAAAAATAATTCTCATGCTTTCATTTTTTCTTACACATTATTTTATTTTATTAAAGATGATAACGCTACAATTATTCAAGATGAAAAAGATTTTCAGGAAGATGATGAAATAAGAGATGATGATACCGATTCTGATATTCAAGAGGAATTAATAATATCATGATCTATTAGGTTAAACAAAAAGGAATTTTTAAATCAACTGTATAGAAGTATTTGATCTTAACAATAATCATCCTACTTGTAAAGGATGCAAAACTGTATTTTCATCATCAATAGGAATTTCTTCTTTAAGAAGACATCTAAACTTTTATAAAATTGTAGCACCTAAGCAATAACAAAGAACTTTATATGATTATCGCAATGATTCATATTCTGGAAATAAATAGCAAAAGCGTGACAAATATATTATTAATTGGATTATATGTGATATACAACCTTTCAGTGTTGTAGAGTATGAGGAATGGAAACAAATAATAAATAAATTTGATCCTAGATATCAATTTCTTAATCAACATACAATGAAAGATCAAATATTAGCATTATTTCAAAGTAAAAGAGAGCAAATAAAATTAGTAATAAGTAAAATACCAGAAAAAGTAGCTTTTACTAGTGATATATGGACTGCATTGTTGATTCCTGCCAGGATTTATAATTGTCTTTATTAAATTTATATGAATATACCTACTAGCTTTGATATTTTAAAAGTAATTCAAGAACATCATAAAGAAGCACACAGAAATAATTCACCCTTGGAAACAGACGCATCTTGTGTACAGTGCAATCCTATTACTCAAACAGTAACAAATAATTTTACAAATTTTTGGAATTGGATTTCTAGTGAATATAATACTACAGCATACAGTAATTGTTCTTTGATAGCATTTAAACTTTATTTAGATAACTATCGTGAAAACGCTCATAACAATAATAAAACAACAAAAGCAGCAGTCGCATTATTATATTGCTTAAATTATTACTTATACCCTGCTGATTTACCCTCTGTTTTACAACATTTATTATTAGTCACCCATATTACTGAGTGTTTTGAAAAGTCTTTTAATACCTCTATCTTACCTCTTACTTCTACATCTACAACCGCTGAATCAATGACAATGAATACTGAACAGTTGAAAAATCTCATGGATCATATGACGAAAAGTTTTAAGGATCTTGCTAAAGATATCAAAAATACACCATCTGGCTCAAGTGGAAATGGTGGAAATACAGCACCAAAGGAAAGTAATATTATCCCAGTAAAACCCTTCTATGGAAATGACGACGAAGACCCTAATGATTGGATTAGAAGTTTTGAAGTTGCTGCTGAAGCAAACAATTGGTCTAAAACTCGTATGTTAAAAATTGTACCAGGGTACCTACATGGGTTAGCCGCATATTGGTTTGAAGAAAATGTCGATACTATTACGAGATGGAATGCGGATGGCTATGCTGCATCAAGTTTTGTTCCATTATTTCTAGAAAAATTCTCAACCGAAGAAAAGCAAAACCTGTGGCATCATCAGCTGAATACACTTCGTCAAGGACCCTATGAAAAAGTAGATCTCTATGCAGGAAAATTTAAAAGATTGTTGAAAAAGGTCGACTCCACTAAGGCCTTACCAGATAAATATATTGTTAGACTTTTTCTTAATGGATTAAGAAAGAATATCGTCCCGCTGGTAGCATTCTCTCATCCTAAAAATATAGAGGAAGCTATTGACGCAGCCAAGCAAGTTGAAAGTGGTCAATATTATGAACAACAATCCCCTGTACCAACTCAGCCAAGTGGAAGCAATAATGCTATTGATAATCTTACTAAACAAATGGAGCAATTATCTTTAAACTATGCAACTCTCTCCAATGCATTGTCTGCACAACTTGAAGGGAAACCTGATAGAAGAAAGCCAAAAGATGACAAAAATCTTACAAAGGCTTGGGATACAAAAACTTGGGATAAAAAGGATGTTGTCTGCTATCGATGTCAAGAAAAAGGACATTATTCTAAGGAATGCATGTCTGAAAAACCAGTATATCGAAGAAAAACCGATAGAAGAGAAGCAAGTTATGTTGGAGTCTTTACTGATAGTGAAGAAGAAGAAATCGAAGAAATAGATGAGGAAGAAGTTTATGCCCTCCCACGAAGTAAACCTTATACTACCAATAGAAAAACTGCTCGACAATTAGAAGCAGAAAAGAAAAGGCAATCAGAATCGAGACGAGAATTGAATTTAAGAAGTAGGAAACCCATTGACGAATACATGGAAGTGGAAACCCCACAAATCATTCCCTCTACTCCTAAAAAGAAAATCAAACGAGGACCATCTCAAATCGACCAAATGCCTCCCTATAATGTTATGCAAGACTTATTACAAATGCCTTCTTCTGCAAAGATTGGTCAACTTTTACAATACCCTAACCAAAGACGTAATCTTGCTCAAGGATTGAGGAGACCAAAAATTCAAGAAACGAATTATGCCAATCAAGAAAGTGAAGAAGAAAAAGAAGACAAATCCACAGCTGTTCGTTGTTATGTAAGAATTAAAGGAAACCCTGTAATTGCCATCCTAGATTCTGGAGCTGCTGTCAGCATTATCACCAGAAAGTTAATGAAGAAAGTAGGATTATCTATTGATGAACAGTCTAACACTGTCGTAGTTACAGCTAATGGAGAAAGAACTAGAGCTTTGGGACAAGTTAAGAAGGCTCAAATTGCGATCCAAAATCTCTTAATCCCTATCTCTTTACAAGTCATCGATTCTCAAGATGAAACTTTACTTTTAGGAACAGATTGGTTTAGAAAAACTCATGCTAGCCTTGACTTTGGAACTAACCAAATTAGATTGAGATATTTAGCGAAAACAATCACGGTTCCTGTGACATCTAGTGCAAATGAAGCACCTGTTAGTTATCCATCTATCCAAGACCAACAAGATGACGAACTAGAACAAGTTTTGGATGACTATGAAGAAGAAGAACTTAGCGAAATTGAAGCTTATATGGCAGATAGTCAAGAAGAATATGAGGAGGAATCTGACTCTTTACCACTCGACTATAATCCATGGAGTGAAGAAAATCCTGTCTATTTAACTCTTGCATTTAAAGAAGAATTTGAGTCGAACCCAGCAGTATTTCTTGCTGAAACTTCCAAAGAAAATATTTGGAAAATTAAAGACGATCTTCAAGTTGGACCTCTGGATGATAAGCAACAAATGTCCTTTCAAAAATTAATTGATGATTATAAGGATATATGTGCTTTAAGCCAAACGAAAATTGGACGAACTAATTTAGTAAAACATAATATCTTAACCGATAACCATGACCCAGTTACCACAGGAGCTTATAAGTGCAAGGACCCAGTAAAACTTAATTTTCTCAAAGATGAAATCAAGCGTATGGAAGAGAATGGAATAATTAGGAAATCATTAAGCCCTTGGGCTTCTCCTGTAGTTATAGTAGCAAAGAAAACAGGAGATAAGCGAATCTGTATTGATTACAGAAAATTAAATTCTATCTCGAAAAGTGATGCGTATCCTCTACCAAGAATTGACGATCTACTAGAAAAATTTAGAGGAGCAAATTGGTTTTCTACACTTGATCTTGCTAGCGGTTATTGGCAAGTAGAAATGAGTGAAAAGGACAAGGAAAAAACTGCCTTTATATCCCAATTTGGCCTGTATGAATTCAACGTCATGCCCTTTGGATTGAAAAATGCACCAGCAACCTTTCAAAGGTTAATGAACCACATCCTTCAAGAATTCTTGTATGAATTCGTTGCTGTCTATTTGGATGATATTATTATTTATTCGACAACTTATGAGAACCATATCCAACATCTGAGAAAAGTATTTCAAGTGATCAAACAAGCGAATTTAATGATCAAGCTTAAAAAGTGTCACTTTTGTCTACCTAATATAACATACTTAGGCCACGTGGTTGGAAGAAATGGATTACAACCTGACCCTGCAAAAATTGATAAAGTTAAAAACTTTCCCATTCCAGTTGACCTAACAAGTTTAAGGTCTGCATTAGGATTATTCTCATACTATCGACGATTTGTTCCAGGATTTTCAAAAATTGCCAAACCTTTAACTCAATTGTTGAAAAAGGAAGAACCATTCTCTTGGACAAATGCTCAACAAAAGGCTTTTGACATTTTAAAGGAAAAGCTAATTACTGCACCCATTTTACAATATCCAAACTTTAATAAACCTTTTATTTTATACACCGACGCATCTGGAAATGGTTTAGGAGCTGTTCTCTCTCAAAAGTTAGAACATGGACTCGACTGTGTAGTAGCATATGCCAGCAGAAGTATGAATAAAGCTGAGCAAAATTATGGAATAACTGACCAAGAATGCCTTGCAGTTGTATGGGCTGTGAGATACTTCCATCATTATTTAAGCTCACAACCTTTTACTATTGTTACCGACCATTCAGCCCTTAAATGGTTACAAACGTCAAAAATTCCCAAGGGAAGAAGAGCACGATGGATCATGGAACTTCAACAGTATGATTTTGAAATAAAGCATAGGCCTGGAAAACTGAACGCTAATGCTGATGCTCTTTCTCGAATTAATGCCGAGCAAAAACATGACGACCATATATATGAAGTTTTTATGGCAACTACCATTGAAACTGAAGAATCAGAAAATGAATGGCATATTTCATCTAAACAAAATTCTACTAAAAATAACGAAGAAATATGGTTTGAGGAACAATTATTTCAACAATTTTCCAACGTGCCTTTAATTACTACAGTTGGATATGAAAGTCCAAAGGATGAAATGGAAGATATTTACCTTGAAAATATTAAAATTAAATCAGTCATCGCCAACCAACCTATTACCAAAGGAGGATCTCAATGTACCTTTGCCTGTGATGTAGAGAATCACCATATTCATACCTATTGTAAGGCGTGCAAAAAGAATTTACCTTACAATACCATTATTCATGATTGCATCATAGGATATGAAAGAGGAAAAATTCATCCTGATATGAAGCCAACTTATCTAGTTAATGACGTATGGTGGGAAGAACCAATTTTAGTACAACAGGAGAATGCATACTCTCAACTTTACGAAATGTTAAATATTACTCCCCCATCTTCTTATTAATCTCTCATATACCCTAACATTTATTAAATTATATTTATTTGAGTGAAAGCTTAAGTGTTTGCAGCGTGACAAACAGCTCACAATGGATATAACACAATATAACCACCTTTTTAATTATTTACAAAACCAAACTTTACCAGACGAATTAACATCAACTCAACAACAAAAATTAGTTAAACAATCTAGATATTTTGAAATTAAAAATAACTATTTGTACAAACATGTTCGACAAAAGCTTCTGAGAGTTATTCGATCACATGAGATGGAAGCTGTACTTTACATGATGCATAATGATCCAACTGCTGGACATTTTGCAGTAGATATAATGTTCGATAAAATTAAAGAACGATATTATTGGCCACAGTTATACGAAAATATTAGAGAATATGTTCGTTCTTGCGATAGTTGTCAAAGAAGAGGAAAACCAAAGAAACATGAGGAGTTACATCCTATACCAGTCCAAGCACCTTTTTATCAAATTGGTATAGACTTTGTTGGACCCTTACCTATAACGTCAAATGGAAATAAACACATTATCGTAGCTGTTGATTATTTCACAAAGTGGCCTGAAGCTAAAGCTGTTCCTGAAGCTACTGCGGAACAGGTTGCCTTATTTATTTATGAATACATAATCTGTCGTCACGGATGCCCTGCGAAAATCCTTTCTGATAGAGGAACCCATTTTAATAATCAAATGATTAAGGAATTGATGGATAAGTTCAAAATTAAACATCTATTATCAACACCTTACCACCCCCAAACGAATGGTTTAGTGGAACGTTTTAATCGTACCTTGTGTGAATCTTTGGCAAAAACAGCTCAAGATCTAGATAACTGGGATCTACAGATTGCACCAACCTTGTTTGCATATCGTACAAGCAAACATTCAGTCACAAAATTATCTCCTTTCTATCTCGTACATGGGAGAAATGTAACATTACCCCTGGATGATCCTGATGATCAAAATGTCACATTGTCCAAACATTTACAAGATTTGGTTGATCAATTGCCCCAAACTAGAGAAATTGCAAGAAATCGTATTGCAATAGCACAACAAAAACAAAAGAATCGTCATGATAAACAAATTAATCATCTTTTTCAATTTGAAATCGGAGATAAAGTTCTTTACTATGATGCAGCTAAAGATAAGCAATGGTCTGGCAAACTAAACCCAAAATGGAAAGGACCTTATTATATCCATCAAGTTTTAATAAATGGATCGTATAAGATAAGAGAAATAGATGGAAGAGTATTACGTACACCTGTAAATGGAAATCTATTAAAGTCTTATCATGATCGTCAAAATTGGGAGCCTCAGATTGTTATATAAAGGAGTGAACTCCTTTGAAAATTTCCCAAAATTTTCCAAT